ACTCGAAGATTCTCCTTTACTCCTTATTGCTGTTGCTATCCAGAGCTTTTCGAGAATTTGCCATGGAAACAATTTAATTTTGATGAAGCTGGAGTGGAGGTTTTGCTTTCATTTTCGACTTTTCAGGACGCGGCGCTGGTGGACCCGAGTTCCAGAAAATTCTGGATTCGCTTGAAGTTTTTACTGTTTCATTGGACCTGGATTAAATCCTGAATTTCGCATCTAATTAATTTATTCTTTTTTAATTGTCGTGTTTCTGAAATGAGTTGATTGGCGATCGCAAATGTGTTGGTGCAGTCGGTGTTTTTCCATTGAGTAACAATAGGCTTATTGTTGTTGTTATTACAGTTCGTTCCGCTTTGCTTCCGTCCATCGATGATTTTGTTAATTGCTTATATAAGCGATAAAGTGGCGCTGTTTGATTTCTTTCCTCTTGAAATTTCGTGAAGTCATCATAAAAATATTTTCAGAATATTCATTTTTCAAGAGAGTTGAATATTAAATGCTGGCGCAGGTTTTGGGGCAATTTACAGTTCCTAACTGTCATTCGGAGTTGGAGAGACGTCATAATTTCGTTGCCACTGTTTTTGCTTCTACAGGCGGGATTGCGTCTACAGATGAGCTTGTTGCTTGTCAATTGGTTTGTTTGAGATGTTGGGCTCCAAGTCATCAATACGGCATTTATTGCGGAACATTCTTGTGCGTCGAACTTCTTACTCCAGATGAGGCTGGTGGCTTTCGTCGACATTATAGAGTTTTGCCGTATTTCGGATCACCTGATTCAGTAATCGGGGAGTTACAGCGATATGACAAGGAAAACAAGATTACTGTTGAATTACCACGAGCTTATTGGATGATAACTGCCTTTGATTTGTGGCTTGATCGGAGTTTGCACTTGTCACGCTCTTATCTTCAGTGTGAGTCGACCCTCATGGAGACCTCCTTCCGTCGCCAAGTTGAGGAGCAGTTGTTACTGTATTTTTGAAACTGTTATCTCATCAGAATAAAGTCGATTTTTCTTAATTCTCGTTTTTGTCTTTAGTCAGCATTCGTTGATGAATAAGGCAAGATACTACATCAGCGTGTTCAATCTTCAATTTTTCTTTTAGTAGGTCGCTGATCTGATATTTGTAAACTCTCAGTGTCTGTACGTTTGGTGGAGTTTTATTTTGAAATTCTTTTGATCTTCATAAAGTGTTGCATAAGATCCATAGTTCCGGTAAATCGTTTTTGATCTTCCAATCGGATATCCCATCCAATCGCTGTCTATTGATAAGTATCCAATACTGTCGTGACCCAATAATCATTCAATGTCGGTTTCATTTCTTGGACCAACATTGTACTGGTCGTATCCATCGATACCATTCTTGAACGTAAGATCCGTATATGTTCTCGCTGCGTTTTTCGATGGAATTATAAGGAGTGCTTTGGTTTCCAGCGTTTTGTAGAATTTTCTTGGTGTTTGTTGCGAAGGATACCTTGTCGTTTCAATGTCTCTCATTCGAGCTTCTGAACTTTTTCTAGTGATTGTGTCGATTGCATCCTCTAATCATAAACTACGAAGAATTCAAGATATGCAAATATAAGCGCAAGCGTAACGTAGTCTATGATAACATAGGCGAGGCAGAGCTTGTGTAAGCGTTCTGCCGAGCCTATTCGTACCGTATGTAGCAGCATAGCAGTGCAACTACCGGCAAAAGAGATCGATGAGCCTGCCGTCAGAGGGGACGGGGGGGTGGGTGTCGCTAGAATATAATAATAATAGTAAAAGACACTGCTGTAGTAAACGCAGAGCGCCTGCTGCAGCGGGGCTCTCGTTACAACGTGCTACTGCACGTAGCGTGTTTTTTACGCGAATGAATTTAGGTGGTATGCGGTCATGTGGGTATTATACCCGCGTTCACTGTTCCCCCCGAACGTGGGTATTTATACCCACGTTCACTCTTTCTTCCGAACATGGGTATTCGATACCCACGTTCACACTTACTGGCGAACGTGGGTATTTTCCAGGCTTTTTGAAAACAGTTCTGTTCTAGAGCCTCATCTGTTTCGATGAAGGCGGGAAACACACCGATTTCCGGACGTACAAAAAGGTTCATTTTATAGCTGTAACTTGAAAATTCGTGGGTATTTATACCCGCATTCGGACATTTTAGCGAACGTGGGTATGAATACCTTCGTTCGAGAAATCACTGAACGTTGGTATAAATACCCACATGACCGCTTACAACCTGAATTTAATCGGCGCCGCGCGCCTCAGGGCGTGCATATTGTTCTATCATTTATTGATAAAATCGTACTCAATGCTGGCCATGACCAGGAGACCCTCTAGGTTGCATCAATTTTCCTAGAGATTGTGCCTCAAAGGGTGGTGTCATGGACTTGGTCGGCGGAGACTAGTCTACTACGCGACAAACCTCTTTCTGAGGAAACCGAAAGAGTTCCCTGGACTTCTGAACCAAACCGAGTGATAAGAAGCTACGCTTTCACCTCCTAAATACTCGTGGAAGCAGGTCAGGGCTCGTGCAAAAAGCTCCTCTAACTGCAAAAACAGCGAGAAATCTAACAATATAGCCACCCATCCGGGATAAGTCTGCTAAAGCTATAATGCGACATACCTATGCAACGAGATAAATTGGTCGTAAGACCTGATGCTAATAAGAAAACTAGCTCTGTATTAACAGAAGCCTCAGACAATCTCTCCTCGGACTATCACCAAACAGGGGTAAGTCCGTTACTGGAGGGTAATGAAAATCTCAAGAATGAGTTTTATTACGGGTAAATATAAAAAAGACAGGAGAAGGAAAAACGACGGGGGGCGTGAAGCGTAGACCGACCGCAGCGATCAAACCTAAATCAAAGATTGATAGTTCATGCCATTAGGGGATGAGTTCCCACCTCATTATCCAAGGGTTCTTCCTGTTTTTCCGTAGTCGCTGCCACGAAGTCCCGTAAGAAAGGGTTCTTACTTGCGGAGGGCCTTACAGAGCTCCTCCCCTCTGCGCTCCACCCTCCAACAGACTCTTCTGAGCTCGAGGAGGTGGGGAGAGGAAGACTTGGGGTTTCGCGCCCTACTCGAGTTACAGGACGGGACAGAGCGTCAAGCCTTCTCCTAACGAAAGGGGGGAGCGATTCTTGTTCCCATTGGGAAAGCATCGCTTCAGCACTCTTGTAGGCGCTATTCTCTTTCTGAGAATCCGAAACCCCAATCAATTGGTCGTCGAACTTTGTCTCAGGCCGTTCTTTGTCAGGCGGAGCAATCAGTCCCTGAAGGGGCTGTTTTTCCACCAACACTCGAGTCTTTGGCGGGGGCTCTTTTGGCCCAGGATTAGGGTGAAGACGCTTGATCGCTTCGACACTCTCTTTCGCACCAGGAATGCCCGTGCACGACATCAGCTCAAGGTTCTTTTGGAGATCTTGTATCTCCCTCTTATACCATCCTCCATCGACTCTGGAATCCTTGCATTCCTCCTTGTTTACGAGGAGAGCCGTACCCGACGGTCCCTCCCCTAAGGATGAAACCAACGCTCTAGCCATCATGGCCGGGGCTCCTAAGGCGCTGTCTTCCACCGAGACCGATCTGTACCTTCTGTACATCTCGGAACCTTCTGCCCATCTGAACATAATGCTCAAATCCTCACGCGAAATACCTGCGGCGATCCCCATGGTGATGGCAGTGGTACGGCCTGAATGGCCCGAAGGGGTACGCGACCAGCCCAGGTACTTACTGGACTTAGCGTAGTAGTAACAGAGTGTTCTTCTGTTTCTACAAGCCTGGAAAAGACGCCCTTCTTTTCTCTCTCCTTTGACCTCATAGAAAAGAGCCTTAATATCGATAGGGCAATCTTCTCTACACACCAGCGTTCGGCGTTCTGGTATGTTCTTAAAGACATTTGTTTTGCTCTCCCTGATTGGAAGAATAAGGGCCCCACTAGAAGACTCTCTGCAGTCTTCAACCATGAGTTTTCCGACTTCACACCTACGGGCCCCCGTGAAAAACGTTTTGATGCTGTAAAGAGCCGCTTCCCTTCTCACCGGCTTCTCCGAACTGAGAAGGAAAGACCAGAGCTCCACCATGTCCTTCATCTGAAAGCGCTCTGCTTGAGTGGGCTCGTGGAGCTTCTTTCCAGCTTCAATTTTTGCCCGTCTCTTTGACCAATTAATGATCTTGCTGCGAACTGACGACGACAATCCCCCTTTACATTCCTTGTCAAGGGCCATTCGGATTACCGTGCGCCAGTGCTCGAAACGATTCGGCTTGTTCGGGGGGCCACCCACTTGTCAACCCAAGCCAGGAAAACATCCGTTATTTCTTCCATTGTAGACTGTCTGTTTTCCGAAACAATCTGAGCCACGGCGGCTCGGATGTTATCGTCTGTCCAGACGTGTTCCGAGCACGGTTCATCATCGTCGTCCTCAAAGTCCCTGTCTGGGCCTGCCGTGTGTTCGAACCAGTCTTCCGCCCCTGCAGGGGGGTTGACCTTCCTCGGTCTTTTGCCCGACGGCTTTGTTGACTTTTTCGTCGTGGAGCTTTGACGAGGAGCCCTAGAGCTTCCCGTCTTCCTGGAGTTGTGTTTCGTGCGCGCCAGTCTAAAAGAAGATTGTAAGGCACCACTAACGTTCAAACGTGTAATTAGAATGTAACACCATGAGGCAAGAATATGAAGATACAGAAGGGTATACACCTCGAACGGGCGTATTCCCACAGAATAAAGGAAATGATAAATATAATGTATAACATTAAACTGTAAGGTTACATGGTGCTAAACAGTGACTTAAAAATAGCCTGAATGCACAGGATTACGATCGCAAGGCCTCAACCCTTTCTGGGAAGTGACCTTGCGCCAATACAATAGCACTAACAATCCGCTGATTGTTCTCATGGCCCACTGCAGTGGACCGAAACTTAGGCGGGTCAAAAATGTGGACCTTTCGGCCCCTTTTATTTTCAAATTCTCGTGACCCTTGTGGTACGGAAAGTGAAGATCGGGAGCCCTTTTCTAGGGACAGTCAGGGTGGAGATGCCCTAAACGCGGTTCATGAGAGGTTCGGGGCTCTTTCTTAGGCTCAGCCTTGGCTGGGGGCGCTCTTGGCTCATTTCCTTTGAAATTTCTGTTCCCTCCTGGCTTGTTCTGGTCTTTCTGACCCTGGTTCTGGCGGTTCTTATTGTTTTTGTTGTTCTGATTGCCATTTCCGCCACCTTCTCCCTGGCCTCCGTTATTGGGCTTTTTGGCCCAATTCTGACCATTCTGGGATCCGTTTCCGAGTTTACGGATTTTCTTGTTCTTATTGTTTTCATTGCCACCCTGTTGCTGGCCCTTGTTGGCTGCATTGGCCTCAATCCCTTTTAGCCATTTCTTTTCCTCCGCGGTGGCCGTGCCAAATTTGACCTTGTTTCTCACCAGTTTCTTTTTCTCCTGGTTCGCGTGGATGTTGAGCTTGTACTCTCTACCTTCCCTCGCTGTCGCGTTCATCGGGAGTTCGAACCTTTTTTGGTTGTCCTCCACCATAACCAGCTGTTTCCAGGTCTTGATGACTTCCTCCTGGCACTCCTGGGTGAGAACTGAGAAGATCATCCTCACGAAAGCAATTCTCGTTAGGGAAAAGTCCGTGCTGAGTTTCTCCAAAGCAGTGCTTAATACCAACCGATCTTCCATAAACTCGATCGGTGTGGTCTTCAGCAACTCCCGTGTGATCGGGATCATGTCATCCTTATCCAGACTCAGCAGATTCTCCACTGAGCTGAATTTTTGGAAAAACTCGCTGCCCACTTGCTCCTGGGATCGAAGTGTCGACATCTTGATCCCAGACGCTCTTCGTTGGTGCAAGTAAAACAAATCCCCTTCTTTGGTGGCCGTTCTTATGGCCCGTTGTGTCGCCACTTCTTCAATTTCTGTCGAAACCCTCTTTAGAGAGTTTGTCAGCGACTGCCTCTGGCTGTAGAAACTGTCATAGCGCGATTGAGCTTCGTTGGCCTTTTTGGCTAACTCCGGCTCATTCAGCCCCAGGAACTTCTTTAGGTCGTCCCCAGCTTGACCCACAGGGAAAGAGTTATTTTCCTTATGGAAAACCGCTTTTCGGTATAGTAGATGGATGTTTCTGGCTCTTGCCGCCTGCTGGCGATAATGGTCCACCAAGTCTCGACCCTCATCTAACTCCGTTTGGAGGCGACCCTTCTCTTGGATTAGAGGGCCTAGAAAAGGGTCTGCCAGGTTGGCCTGCATGATTCTTTGAGCTGTCCCCTGGTCGATTTGGGTCTTGACCACCTTGTCCAGATCGTAATTAGACTGGAGTGACGACCTCGTGTAAGGGTTCAGACCCGACTTTCGGTCCGTCACTGGCGGAGTAAACAAGTCCATCTCTCGATCTTCTCCGAAATCCATTTCGAAACGTCTGAACAACGAAAGTTCAAAACACTGACAGAGTCTTATACAAGAGATGTACCAACATGTTGCTTTTGAAGTCTAAAGAAAAGATCCCTCCACGGGTCTTCGGGAACATGGAAAAACAGGGATGAATATGTCAGATAAAAAACCGCAAGAGACCGCACTTCTTGTAAGTACGAGCCCCTAGCGCAACAACAGAAGAAAAAAAGCCGCTGCTCTAACCTAGTTCACCGTCCATTACCGATTGTCAGATTAGGCTCGTTGAAAATGGCCCAAACTGTCGCCGCGTCGGAGATCGGCTTGTAGTATCCCATCCCCTCCGTTTTCTTAGGCGAAGGTGAAATAACTGCCACCTTTGATTTCAGCTTCAAGGTCCTCAGACCTCTCCTCTTTGCCAGCGTGATTGCCATCGGTGTTCTCTCGTACTTGATCACAACCAAAGCCCATGGGATGCTCATGGCGTAGTCTTCCAAGTATCGAAAGACTATGCTGGCCATTTTTCTTGGGGGGAAAGCGTATATTACTTCCTTGCGCCTCCACTTTGTGAATCGGAAAAAGTCCGATGCCCATGCTTGATCATCGAGAAATCGGGAGATATATCTTTCTGTTCGAGCATTTTCTTTCGTTGCGAACGCATCCAAAGTGAATTTCCGCTTCCACGCCCGTGTTATTTCGTCGAAAGCCTCGTCCGTGATCTCACTTTCATTGAAGTCAAAGGTCCTGGACGGTTCATCCGCAAGTTGCTCAATATTGTGTCGCTCCGCCGCTTCATAAATACGGAACACCATTTCGTTAAGTCTCCCTGTACGCGATCCGTGGTATAAAGCGCTGCAAACTACCTGGTTGTCGCATTTGATCAGGACCCTCCTGTTTTTGAGAAGCGATCCTTTGCGCTGGAGTAACACCAAGATGGCATAAGCTTCTTTCATGAAGATGTCTTCGTTTTCAAAGCCTTTTGGCCAGTAGAAGGGCTCTTTTGCGCCCAGATTTTCCACACAGAGACCCCCAGCTCCTCCGGAGGCGTCAGTGTAGACCAGAAGTCTTTCTTTGAGGTCTTCTTCTCTGAAGATCTCTTTTTTGAGGTGGACCACGCCCGTCTCGATCCATCTCGTCTCTTTCGGGGATGCATTTCTAATCCAGCGCCGCAGCTCTGTCACCAGGTCTGGCTTCAGTGGTATCATGGGGTCGCCCGAGTCGATCGCTAGCTTGATTGCCTCGTTTTGGATTCTGATGAACAGTCTCATCTTTCTCTCCACGTACATAAAGTGCACGCACTTCCCTCTGATCTGTTCCAGGATTTTTTGGTGCACATGATTTCCTCGTAACACTGATCTGACTTCTGCCTGGAACTTTTCCCATTTGGGCTTTGGGATCGCTATCGTCATCTCCTTGGTATCAAAAATGAAACCCAGGAATTCCAGCCGGTGAGTTGGGACAAAAGTGGACTTTTCCCTGTGGATAAAGGTGCCCAGCGCGCAAGCTAGATAGCAAGCTAGGGATTCTTCTCCCCGAGACCAGGTCGTCGTATTCCTTTCTGGATTCTGGCCTTTCTATGATCAACCTATCGTCAAGATACAGTAGTATCAAATGACCTCTCCTTCTGAGATAGTTGATGGGGGATCCATTTATCAATTGATATTCGCTTGGAATGCGTGGAATCCCAAAGGCCGCCGCCCTGTATGCGAACCTATGGTTTCCCCACGTGACTGTTGCCATTCGACTCGACATCGGGTCTAACAGTAGATGGTGAAAAGCCGTGGCCAATCGTGGCCATTACCTCTTTTACGTCATCCAGGACACATTTCACGCTCTTAGACTCCAAGAGCGTGAGTGGGGAGCCATCATAACAGACTCTCCATCCGTCCCCTTTTGGGACGAGAATCATCGCCGATGTCATCAATGGCTCCTCTTCCGCTTGATGCAACAACACCAGCGCCCTCGCGCCCGTCCATTTCCGAAGAGTGCCTACGATATCCTCGTGACAAGCTGTGATATTCCCTGAATTTCGAATCTTCAAAGGAAGGTGGTGCCGTTTACCCCCTATATGGATTGGTCTTTTCACCATCCGGTGGGCTGGCCATCCTTCTGAGTCGTATTTGTCTGAGTCTGAGAGCTGGCCCAAACCCCTTTGACTCATTTCTCCCTTCTGGAAAATCCTCTCATTCGAGAGATGGTAAGTGTGAGTCATCGCTATATTAGTGTTAGACCTGAACTTCTGAGGCGACTCCATTCTAATCATCTTGAGGTTCTCGAAGACATCCACTCTTTTCTGGAGAACCGAGTATGCCCGTGACCTCTCCGGTGGCTCCAGTTCATTGATCACGATGAGCCACAACTGGAGAAAATCGCGGAAACTTCCCGAATAGAAGTGTTTTTCCTCCCGAAATCGTAGCATTTCCCATTCTGGGTTGAAGCTGGGGTCTCCGGCCTTGACAGCCAGGTCGAACATCGTCTGGCCCCTGCTCATCCAGTCACTCCATTCTCCGCCATCCTTTGGTGGCACTTCATCTTCTTTCCACAAGACCGGTTGTACAAACGATGGTGCAGACGGAACGTAGAGATCTTTCCACATTTGAGCTTGGCCAAAGTCCCCGTCTTTAACTCTTTTATTCATGTCCTTCTTAACCCGATCTCGAGTCCACTCCATTCTGAAAACCAAAGGTGTAGTAGTAGAGAAACCACTACTCTTTGTTTCAAAGCAAGCTTCTGGTACATCTCTAACCCCTGCAGGGGTTGACTCGTAGCAGTTTTTCTGAACGAAAAACCAAGAATTCCTCGATCGATGTATACTTTTTAGGAGTATTTATCCATCAAGTTTGAGTCAGCGTGAAGCGCTCTGTCTAACTAGGCAGAGCTAGTGTCTTTCGACGCTCTCCCCAAAAGAAGATGTTTCAACTTCGATTATTCTGTCGATAATGTCGAGTCCCCAGGTTGTGTATTTATCCGAGCACATCATAAATTCCCCTTTTTTGGGGAACATGATGTCTCTCAATGTTTTGACCTGATCATCTACCGAAGCTTCTCCTCGGTCTCGTGTTGGCGAAGCCGCGTCCATCCACCCTTTAAGGTGGACTAACAGCGTAAATTCCTCTCCAAATATCTGAGAGATCAGGAAGTATGCCTTCTCCACTGTTCGCACGAGAGCGTTAATGTCCACTTCCTCTGAAGTCGCGATCGAGCAATTAATAATAATAGAGAGCAATTTAAAGGGCAAATAGTTGAAACATTCCTTGGATTATTTCGCCATAGCATCTCCGGTTCAAGGAGTCCAGAATTTTGACTTGTTTCTCAGAATCATCAAAAACCACAGTAAGCCAGTGCTCGCTAGTGGCGATATGAACGGGAGCGACAAGTATTTTTCTTTGGATATCGATCGGATGAAGCCCCGTATTTTCGAGAGATTGATGTGAGCAAATGATTTTACTTTGATAGCAATCCAAAAAAGTCACATTTTCGATTCCATGGCATGAGTTGTATCGTTTGTATATACAAATCATCCAGTCGATAATTTTATCTACAACCATCTTATTATCTGTTACGAGACACTCCAGATCTCGATTGCGAACTTCCTCCTTGCCAATTTGTTGTAGAAGCTGGTCTTTCGGGTATTTTCGGATATTGTCCAAAAAAACGAGTGCCCCTTAGTCCAATTTGAATTTTCCAAATTTAGGAAAATACGCTTTTCCTCCCAAAAACCACTGTCGGTCGAGATTTCTAACTCTTTGTTTTGTTTCATCATCATCATCATCATCGTCTAACTCGACTATCTTTGGCTCACTTCGAATCGATGACGAGTTCGACAGCTCTTCAGGGGGGCAAGCCGCTTTCTCCAAACGATCGAGCAGGTCAGCGTTATTTTTTTCTTCCTTGATATCAATTCCAGAGTCGCCACAAATTGGCTTCTCGCTATCAGGCTCTTCCGAAGTTTTTGAAGAAGCATTTTTCGCCTTTTTCTTCTCCTCAGTCTTTTTCTGAACGAGGTTCAAATTCATACCATTCATAAAATGCTCATATACTGGCTTACGCCTGTCCAAACCACCCAAAAAGTCATCGAGCTCCTGTTTGTTTGAAAGCATTTTTGTCGCTCGCTTTCTAGCATTTTTCAGATTTTTTGAGGTAGATTTGATGAGTTTCTTGAGATCTTTTTGATCTATTTTTATGGGCATTGATGAAGAATGTCTGTCCAACTTTTCGTAGAACTTCGAGATAGTGGAAAACTTGTGTGGGCTCGGCAACTTGTGTTGAAAACCTGTGTCAGGATTATTTTCCTGTGTCAGGTTTATTTTGCTCCGCGATTGAGCTTTTTTCCTTCGCGAAAATGACCATCACCGCGAATTATATCCTCGCATGATCTTTCAAAGGCGCCATAAACTCATTTGATCTGCTCCTGAGGAATTTCATCTCAAGCTTGTTTTAAAATTTTTTTCGCTTCCGCAAAATTTCTTAAATATCCCTGTTTGCCTAGAATCATTTTTCTTTTCTTTTAAGCAAGTTCCAAAGGGAATAATCTAAAGGATTCAAATCTGGGGACGACGCTGGCCACGTAGCAGGCGCTTTTTTTGCTAAATCTTGCGGTTTTTTATAGGCCTTTACTTTTGTAATGCACCGATCTAAGCCTATTTTTCCTCAAAAAATTCTAGAGAAGACGAAGCAATATGGGATGGAGCTACATCCTATAAAAAAAATTGTCTGCTTGTTTATTATTTTTTATCATGCCTTTATTTTCAAATTCTGCTATACCGTGGTTTTCCATTTTAAGAGCGTTTTTTGGATGACAGGCCTCGCTCAAATCGCTCTTATATTGGAAATTGTTCAATCAAGGTAGGATGACAGTGGTGTGTTGTTCCCGGTGTCAACCTTGTGTTCTGCAATTACAATAAAAAAAGATCCGATGTTTTCTTTACGATTTCATCGTCGATTATGATCATCTGAACATCAAGAAGGAAGGTCTAGTGAACAAAGCGAACGAAATCTTCATGAACATGAATCCAGCAATCTTCAAGCGCTCTTGGATCAATACTGGGCTGATCAAGGAGGAAGAATTCGAAGGAGCTGTTAAAGATTTTGAGGACTTGGATGTTTTGGAAAGTTTGCTGGAGAAAGAAGACGAGGAAGAGCTGGTCGAGCATTTTCTGGCGCTTCAAATCGATAAAACACGAGCCGCGACCCCGATGGAGATTGAAGAGGAACCTCAAGTTCAAGAGATAGAGAGTGCCGACACTGCGAATGATTCGACTTCAAAATGGCCAGAAAAACAGTCGAAGATTTCAAAATTTTTAAATAAATGATTCACTGTAAGTCTGAAAATTTTTTGATTATTAATAAAAATCTTCGAAAACACTCTTAAACTGGAATTTTGGCAGATGACAACATTTTCAAAATATACGCAAAAACGCTCTTAAAGTGGGCGCTCTTAAAACGGAAAACCACGGTAAATGGTTCTTAAACTATTTTTTCATATTCTAAGGACTCACAAGTAACTGTTTTATAAATGGTTTTAACTTTTCTTTTAAAATTTCGATTGGATTCTTCTAGAAAAAATATAAGTTTTGACTTGAAATTATGTCCTACAGCCCATACCATCAGTGATTGAGCCCTTTTTACTTTGAATTCGGGAGCTTCAAGAATTTCACTCCTTTGACGCCAGGCTTTAAAATTTTGGTCGTTTGTATCATTAAGCATGACGCTGCATTCATCGGAGTGAATAAGTTTCGATGAAAAATTTATCTTTAGAAAATTGCACTCGAGACCATTTAGCAAAGTAAAGATGTTCTAGGCGTGTTGAGTCGGAAATGCAAGGTTGGACAGGCTCCTATTGACCGCACCTTCATTCAAGCGCGATAAGTATCCGCCTGACTTTATTACCAGTCGACATATCGTCACTATCAATACCTTGTCTCGTGAGGGCTAATTTGAGGCTAGGGCTCTGCCGGTAACTGGTTTCTCGCTGCTTGACGAGATCGTCTTGCACATTAATCACTAACTCGACAAGTTCTGGGTCATGACTTTCAATTTTTTCCACTATTGATTCAATTTTAGTTTTAACTTTAAAAACTTCTTCTAATTTATGACGATAACACGGTGCAAGCCACCAAATTTGGCGCCCTGATGTGCGCATAACAAAATTATAACCGGATAATTGTCCAGAAAACATTGAATGGTTCCTATTTCGGACTTTCGAACTCTCGCTTCGGGCGGAAAGTGGCTCCAACCTTGGGCGCCAATTCTTTCAAAGAAACCCCGCGCTCCTTCTTCATAGCTAAGTAAATTTACAGTGAAAACCCATTGTAACTGTTAAGTCTGTTACCCTAGTTTTTCTTTATTCCTTTATTTACCACTGAATTACAACCAAAGTTATAATTTAGTTTCTTTTCTTTTTCCAATTAATTCAAAGCTTACCTTTCATTTTTACTTAACATACAATTTCAACTACAGTGAAACCCTACGCGCTCGGCAACGGGTTAAGGCCCAGCAACTTAAGGCCACTTTTTCGGAAAATTCGCAAAATCTGTCATCCTTAAAATATCCCTTTTTGTTATCTTCAACATTTAATCTGCAAAAGAAAAATTTATCGAAAGGTTGATAATGTAACTTTTTTGTTTAATGTACTCTTATGTACATTAAACTTCTTTCTTTTCGCAATTCGAGAATCCCGAATCGGGATGCTCTAGCTCTCTTTCTCAGACTGTTGTTAAAAACTCAGGAACTGTATTTAAATAAGTTATTATGAAAAGAAACTTATCGAGTAAAAATTTGAACTCTTTGGCCGTTTCTTCTATATAGGGGTTGAAAACGGGTTCTTGATGTATGGGATTTTCTCGGTTATGAAACTCTGAAATCAACTTTACTCTTCAAATCCGCTTTATACTTGCATGCAAAAGGATCGGAAAAATGGCCGAGTTTCCCGAGTACCAGCTTGAAAAGCCAGGACATCGCTTTACGTCACTTCTGACCACGAATCATGAAGATGTTCCAAAGTGTAACTCTCACCTTGAGGTCCATTCAATCTCCATCCTCTCGTTCTATCCTAACTCTCCTGTAGGCTGTTCAATCAGAGCTAGAATTACTCCTCCTCAGTGCCAGCGTGCGTCTCAGATCAGTGATCTGAGATCACTCACATCCGAATCAAATCTCCTGAAAGACCTAGAGATCGATACAAACATCAAAAAGCATCGCGCAGCGAAGAGGTTCGTTCCCAAACGAAGACAAAGCAAGATTCTAGAGGCGTCGATAGAAGCGAAGCGAAAGCGCGCTGAAGCACCGACTATCAAGTGATAGACGTCACTTGATGATGTTGACTGATTACATGACCTACACTGGACCAGGTTTGTCGGTTGAACTGATCGCCTTTTCTACTATTTTTCTTCTTCAGTATTTGGTTGTACAAGAATTGGATTGGCGAACGTTTCGAACTCGCCGCTTCACTTGTCCTCTTTCGAAAAAACATCGGACATTCTTTACAACGCGGCTTACTACGGACAGAGAGACTCGCTCGCCGGACCTATGTATTTACACCATCTTGGTATTAACACCATCGTCGTATTTACACCAGATTAGTCCTACTCGACAAACATTGGTCTAACAAAGCTTTTTAGGCCAAAACGTCACAAACGAAACAAATCTTCAAAGTGCATCTTCCTCAAACCGGCAAAATATTCACCCCCGCGCGTTCGACTTCTTTTCGCTTGAAGCAATCCGTTCCGGCGTCAATAAAGTCCTCAGTCTTTTCAAATCAAGAGAGCTTCTGTGCGCAGATTTGGTCGAAGCGATAAGAGAATACTCAAAGTAAATTTTACATGTTTTTTGTTTACTCATGCGTCTTTTTAGATGTGAAGATGAGTTGAAATTGAAGAAAGAGGTGTTGGAATCGTCTGGAATTGAAGAAAGTGACCCGGATCATTTCCTAGAGAAGGTAAAAGAACGAGGACATGGGCACAGAGCTCAGCAAGAGTTAGAACAATGGAAACAGCTGCTGCTTGAGAACGTCAGTTTGCTGAAAACAGCGATAGAGAAAAGAAGAACCTTGCTAACTGTGCTTGATCAGAGTTCTGGATTTTACGAGGTTTTGAGGAATGGATATGAGAGGGACAAGTTTGATTTCAGACGCAATTTCGAGAAGTAACGACGGTGCTAAAGGCCTATCATGACTCCCGAGATCGCATTATTACTCAGAAACGACGCTGTCAAGATATGATGAATGCCAAGTTCCAAGAGAAAGCAGTTTCGTCTCAACGCACCACCCAATACTAAGTTCCACCTCACCTTACTCTTCTTTTGCTGTTGTTTATTATTTAAAATTTTCTTCTCATCTATTTTGAATAATGTTGAAATCAAGAACAATTTGAGATCATCATTGAAATGCAGTTTTTAATATATTTATTCTCATTTTTACAGTATTTTGGCAAATATCAAGCATTCTTTATCAGCTGGTGACTTGCATCAACCTGAAAATATACAAAAATCATTTTTGAAAAAAGTTAATTTTTAAATGTTTCGGCTGAGAGGGGGGTAGAGTATGGTGTATTTTTTGCAAGGACTCACATTTTTAGTTTTCGAAAATATTTTCCTTTCGGTTTCCTTACCTCGACCAAAATCCTTACCTCGACCAAAATCCCTACCTTCAATGCATATCAAACGATTTCAAAACCCGCCGATGACTGATGGCTGACACGACTGTAGAAAAACTTCACATTTTGTAAATATTTTATATATGAGTTTAACGCCTATTGCAGCACACCTTTCCTATTCTTTTATCTACGCGCTGACCTGATTCCAATCGAGGGAGTGACGACCCGCTGATTCGAATCATTGACCAACTGACCCACTTTACCCAGCTGATTTTACGCTTGACACAGTTCTGACCCTTTATAAGCGACTCTGCCAAGACAAAATTATTCAATTTCACAATAAAACCAATCAGAAGGTTCAATTTTCTCTTTTCATTTCTACAGACGCATCAAGGTGACCAACGTTGCGATTCGACACCCCTTCGAACTTCTTGAGGACTTTACAAATAACACGACGCCAGAGACTAAAATTTCGACGAAAACGACTAAGACACAACTAAAGAGAATCGTGACAGAACTGAAAGAGAAATTGGAACGAATGGGCTTGATCTTTAGAGCATCAATGACAGAACATAAGATCAGCGACGAGACAAAGACTGCACTAGAAGCACAGTTCAAGAGCACACGCCGACGAATCTGCCTTTCGCATCTTGATCGGCAATTTCGAGAACGATACGAGGACGAGTTCGACGATGTTAAAGGATCAACAGATTTCTACGCCTTGCTTCACCAGATCATTGGAGAAGAAAAACCTGAGGAGCTTGCAAAAGAAGCACGAGAGAAGCTCTCTACAATCTCCAGACGAACCGACGAGGAAGAGACCTTCACAAGATTCTACACAAGAATTGAAAAACTTGCCAGCTTAGCAAGTAAAGGTAAAGATGCGCTGAAAGAACATTTTCTAGAGGAATCTTTCAACGCAAATCTGACACCTGACCTAAAGCGATACATCCTGGACGAAGGACAATCGGCAAAAACACCAAAAGAAATTGCAGAATACTTGGACAAGATGAAAAAATTCAAACGTCGCGTCGAAATCAGTGCTGTCAGCATGGAAAACACTCTTTTAAAAGAAGAAGTCGCTGCATTACGACTGGAATCCGCTTCTTTCTCTCAGCTTCTCTCGAAAATGGACGCCAAAATGGACTCACTCAAAATGGAACTTGCAGAGGTAAACAAACTTAAGGCAGTTCCCCGACAACCACAACGAGAGACCTTCGCTCCCTCCCGCCAGACGACTGAACAGCAAAATGCGATCAACACGACGGCACAATTAACCGCTCCCCGAACGAATCAATACTACCAGGAACGACCGCGAGCAGAACTTGAACGACGACGAGACGGCACGATAGTAACCTGCTATTCCTGCGGAATGAAGGGCCACTCGGAAAAGAACTGCAGAGGAACAGTGATCTGCCACATCTGTAACCATCGAGGTCACATCAAGGACATCTGCCCGACCCGACAGCCAAAAAACTAACTTCTGGACTTTATCATTCGTCAGATAGAGTCCACGCATCCGTCTCGACAATCATGGATCGAGTCGGACCAAAATTACTTACGAAAGCAACAATCTACGGTCAGCAAACTAATTTTCAGTTAGATACCGGCGCTCAGGTGTCCTGTATCCCTCGTTCTCTAATCCCGCCATCAATGTACAAATCCATCATCCCCTCGTCAATACAGCTTCAGTCGTATAATGGAAACGAAATTCAAGTATATGGCTGCCTCTCCGCCACAATAGAAATCGGCCAACTTCTGCTTAAAAATTGTATATTTCAAGTCGTAGGAGATCACTGCTCGCCGATTCTTGGAACTCCAGAGCTCTCCGAAAACAATCTTCTTATAGACCTGCGATCCAGTTGTCTTCGCCAAGGCAGCACGACGGAGCCAATCATTATCTGCAAGAGTCCAGCAGCTGGCATCAAAGCGATATCCAAATCCAAGTTCTTTTCATGTACCGCGACATCAACCTCTCAAATCACAATTACACCACGATCATCAACTTTCATCGATGTCGACCTTTCCGAATCATCTACAAGCTTTATCTGTGCCATTCCCGAACCAGTCAACAAAAATAAAACCTTCGAAGTATACGACCAGTGTATTCAATTAAGCAGCCTCCAAAATCGAGCACGAATTCACCTTGCGAACAATACAGCTCTTCCGATCCATATAAACAAAAATGCAGTCGTCTGCAGAATACATGAGGTGGAAGTTAGATTACCCGAGGCAGCGAAGGAAGGAAAATACGAACAAATTATGAGGGAGCTCTCCATTGGCGAAGCCCCCCCAAAAATAAGAAGGAAACTTGATGAAATTATCTTTAATTTCACAGATAGGTTTGCTGTAGAAGATGAAAAACTCGGCACTACAGATGCGATGTCCTACAGTATCGACACAGGTAGCGCCGCTCCTGTTGCTTCACAACGCTACCGAACTCCGTACTTTCTTCGAAAGGAAATGAAGCGCATTATCGAAGCGAATCTATCGTCTGGACTTTTGGAGCCATGTTCTAGCCCCTTGGCCGCTCCTGTGCTGCTCGTCAAAAAACCAAACGGAAAATGGCGCTTAGTTTGTGACTACAGAAAACTAAACCAGGTGACCATAGCAAACCAGTACCCATTACCCGAAATCGATGGACTTATCGACCAAATGTCCGAATCAACGGTATTTTCTACGGCAGACCTCTTCACTGGCTTTCACCAGATTCCTTGTACAGCCGATACGAAGCAAAAAGTGGCAATAACAACGGACTTTGGTCAGTTAGCGTGGACGGCTATGCCAATGGGTGGGAAAAATGCGCCCGCGGTATTTCAAAGAATGATGGACAAGATATTTTCCGACATCCCAAGCAGCGAACTTGCAATTTATTTGGATGATTTATGTCTTCATTCACAATCATTCGAAAAGAACTTAGAAATCATCGAAAAAGTCTTGTCCGTCCTCCGTCATAACAACCTTAAGATAAGAGCCGCGAAGACTGAATTCCAGAAACGAAAAATCAAGTTCTGTGGTGCAATTATCGAAAGCGGATTCAGATTCCCGAACCCAGCAAAAACAAAAGCAGTTCGTGATCTACGTCAGCAAACTTCGAAAACAGAAGCCGCGAGCATTTTTGGACTGCTTAACTACCATCGAAATTTCATTCCTCACTTCGCGTCAAAGGCTGCTCCAATCAACAAGGCAATGAGCAAGGGATTCAAATGGACCGAAGAAGCGGCAAAAGCACTGGAAGGGCTCAAGAGCGAAATTTGTAACATTGTCGACGCTCTTAAAATCCCTAATCCAAATGTTGGCGAATTTGCGATCGAGACAGACGCCAGTGAAACGGGTATTGGAGCAGTTCTTCTCTATAGAAAAACGAAAAATGAGAAATTCTGTCCAGTCGCCTACCTATCACAAAAATTTGACGATGCACAGCGAAACTATACGATCAGCGAGAAGGAGCTCTTGGCCGGCAAGCGAGCAATGGAAAAGTGGAGTCATTATCTTCTCGGTCGAAAGTTTTTCTGGTTCACTCATAATTCATGCGTGAATTGGGCGCACAAAATAATGAGTCGAAAGCTAAAAATTGCCAAATGGCTTGCCGAGATAAGCGAATTTGACTTTGAAACGATCATGAAACCGTCAAAGAAAATGAAAATCTCCGACTGTCTTTCTCGCCAAATCAACGAGCTTCAGAAACCAACGATCAATATGGTGAGACCCCGCGACTTTCTTTTCCTTCAAGAATCAGACGAAATTCTTCGAGATGTGATCAAGTTTCAGAAGACTGATCGCTGGCCAAGGGACACGGACTCAGACACCAAATAACTTAAACGATACAGGAGCCTTCTTTGCTTCGGAGATAGTGGAGAGCTTGGCATAGACAAAAATGGATTCAAAGCAATTCCACCCGGCTCAATTCACCGAGAAATAATGGAGGAGTATCACGACAGATCGGGCCACCCTCGAATCACTCAAACGCTCAAAAGTATCGAGGAGAAGTACCGCGATTGGCATTTCTGACTGACTGATTCTGATTTTCGAGTGAAATAGCTAATCAACCAATTAAAATTTGACTCTAGTGTCTCTTCTTTGAGAGTTCCGTCAAACCAGTGACGCCTACGCAATCTACGTTACAAATCTCCTATGTTTTTAGCATGGAGAATTGTAACGTCAATGTGCATCTTTCAAAAATCAGTCAGTCAGGACTGCCAATCGCGGTACTTCTATCCAAATCTTAAAGCAACTGTGATCAACTACATTCGATCGTGTCGAAAATGCCAGCTGATCAAGCCGACAACAAATCCACTCAATGCTCCACTTGGACATGTTACCGCACCATTCCAGCCATTCGAGAGATATTCGATAGACCTAATTGGACCCCTACAAATAACCGACAACTACAATAGATTCATATGTGTCTCCACCGACCTCTTTAGCAAAAGAACAAATGCCTCTGCATTACGGTCAAAGAAACCAGAAGAAGTCCTCGATGCGCTCCGATCGGAATGGCTCCGTAATCCTCACTTACCGAGAGAGATCCTCATGGATAATGAAGGAGAATTCAAAGCAGTCAGAGAATTTGCAGAAGAAAAAGGACTCCGAGTTCGACTTTCGCCGGCATACCACCCGCAAACAAACGGTGAAGTTGAAAATAGGAACCGTACAATCAAATCTCGACTGAAACTTGCCTGT